GGTGCAGCCACTATGGAAACAGTATGGAATTTCCTTAAAAATTAAAAATAGAACTTTCTTATGATCCAGAAATCCCACTTCTGGGTATTTATTCAAAGAAAACAAAAACCTTACAAACCTTAACTCGAAAAGTTATATACTCTCCCATGTTCATTGCAGCATTATTCACAATAGCCAAGATATGAAAACAACCCAAGTGTCCAGTGATGGGTGAATGGATAAAGATGTAGTGCGCGCACATGCACACGCACAAACACACACACACGGATATTATTCAGCCATAAGAAAGAGTGAAATCTTGCCATTTGCTATACCATGGATGGACCTCAAGGGCATTATGTTAGGTGAAATAAGTCAGGCAGAAGAAGACAAACACCATATATCTCGTGTGTGTGGAATCTAAATTAATTAATTAATTATACATAAATAAACAATTTTTTTTAAATTTACAGATACAGAGAATCAACTGGTGGTTACCAGAAGTGTGGGACAAATGTGTGAATTTTCTTATTTTTTATTATTTAAATAAATTAAATCAAACGGGGGAAATTAGAAAGAACAAAATTCAGGGGCCGGCCGAGTGGCGTGTTGGTTAAGAACTCGCTTGGGATGCCAGAGGGCCCCGGTTCGGATCCCACATATGAGGGCCAGTGACACTGCCCTCTACAGCTAAGATGCTGAACAACAGCTCAACCTGGAGCTGGGCTGCTGTGAGTCCCCAGCAACGGCTTAGGCTGCAGCCCCTGCTGCAGTGGGTTGCCATGGGCTACCGTGTGTAGCCAGCAGCCACTGTGAGCGGCCGACCAGAAGCCGGTGACTGATCTGCCTCGCCTGGGAAGAGCGCAATGATGGTGCCAACTTGGGCCACTGAAGCGACGTCCTCCACAACTAGCCTGAAGAACAAAAGGACAGCAACAGCAACTTGTCTGTTCCCCTTCCCCCAATTCCCTAGCGCTGTTCCCATCCCCCAATTCCCCAATAAAAATCTTAAAAAAAAAAGAACAAAATTCAGTATTAGAGGGATGTATTGGGCAAAACTCAGGCTGGAAACAGGTGGAAAGCTTAGGAAGCTGGTGTTGATAACCTAGGTGAGAAGGGCTGAGCAGCACAAATAGCTATTATAGTAGGAACATAGAGAAGTACTGACATAAACACTAATAGAAATGTGCTAAGGTTACTCAGCAATTAAAAAGAACAAACTACAAAGCGGATGAATCTCAAGTGCACTTCATTACGCAAGTGAAAGAAACCAGACTCCAGAGGCACACACTGTTTAATTCCACTTATATGCCATTTTGGAAAAGGCAAAACTAATAGGAAGACATAAAACAGATCATTGTTTGCCAGTGGTGGGAGGTGCGGGGAGGATGATTAAAAGGGGCACAAGAGAATTTTTTGAGGTGATGGAAATGTTTTACATCTCAATCGTGGTAGTTACACAGTCAAATATGTTTGTCAAAATGGACTGAATTTTACTATATGTGAATTATACCTCAATAAACGTTACTAAAAAACCCACTGAAAACGGGATAAGGTTGAACAGAGCCACATTCATTCGCTTACGTATTGCCTATGACTGCTTTTCCACTACAACAACAGTTACAAGAGGGACCGTCTCATCCATAAAGCCGAAAATATTTACTATCTGGCCTTTTAAAGAAGTCTGTCAACCTTGTGATAAAGTGGTATCATCCATTTGTTTGGTTCTTATCCAAAAAACTCAATTGTCCCTAAAAGGAATCAAGAGGTCACAAAATGTGCATAAATGCTCTATTCAAATTATCTGGGGTCTAGAAATGAGTTGTTTTCCAAATACACTCTGAATTAAGTCTCCGAAAGGAAAGAATATTTAATCAGTTCTCAATTAACAGCCACAGAATTTTTCAGAAACTTTCACAAAAACTTCCCATTATAATCACCACATCTCCCAACTCAACCTGCTGTTTAAATTATGTATCTGTTGGATATTATTTTTTTGGTTAAAGTGTCAAGACACTGGCCTTTTATTTAAGTAATCAGCTACAATCTATAAAACTGCTTCTTTATATAACTTCTACGTAAAACAATTAGCTTTCCTGTGTATTTGAAGTGTTGATCCAAACAATTAGAGACATTATAAACTGATGTTCACTTCTCTGTTGAAGCTGGAAAATATGGATAAGAGCATTTGTGGCCTTTTTACATAAAAATAATGCACAAGCACTATGTGAAGATTTTAAAAATGTGCTGAGAGAAGATATTATACTAGCTGCCTATAAAAACTTTCATTGTATGTAAGTTGTATTGATTTCATTATTTATTTTTAAAAATGAAGAAATGTTATAAAGTATTAGTGGGCACTGGTAATAGTTACAGTGGTGACTTACAATTAGTTGGGCATAAAGTTGAATAACCTTTTCTAATGATGGTGATGTATTAGAGAGAGTCATCCATGCTCTATTGTCCCCAATATATTTGTGAAGAAACTTAATGGAGTAAAGGTTGTATTTTCTACCTTTACAAATTAATTTGTAAAATTCCTTGAGTGTGCAATTGCCACCTGCATATTAGTATTCTGAGGAAACTTATTCCATACATGGTGTAATATTTATAATTTTACAATTATAAATAACACCACAATGCATTACAATTGATCTAGTAAATTATGGCAAAGGACATTATAAATAGTAATTGGCCCTCTTATAACATGCCTCTGGTATGATAGGCAAGAAATATGAAATCATATTTAATAAAAATGTCCCATCAAATTAAGATGGGAAATTTTACTATGCTAACTTTTGAATTTTATACTGTACTAAATTTTACACTGTGATGGATGGAAATAAATTTGAAACTATATTCTACATAAAGGAGGTAAGAGACACAGCAGCAGCATTATCAAGGAGAAACTGAAGAAGACATGAGATAGATGTCTCGGTACGCCTGGGATGTGAAAAGGATTACCCAAGTCAATCATTTTAAAGTTCTTATGTGATGATGATATACACTGTTCTTCGGAAATGTTATAAAAAAGAAATTTGAAGGAGTTGAGGTAAGTAAATTCTTCGATAGCCTTATGAAGGTTAGTCTATGTGGGAAAAGAAAAATGCTCTAAGAAGACAAAAAGAATGACAAATCATAGCAGAATTATAAATCAAGAAAACAAGAAGTGCTATCAAATCACGTAGAAAGCCAGCCTCTGAGGTAGACTATAAACCACTTAAAGGAATACAGGTATCCTGAAATCTTCATGACAGAAAAGTGCAAAAAGTCAAGGCAAAGACAAGAAGCAAGTGAATAAATCCAAGACATAGAGCCGTGAAAACAAACAAGGGAATAAGAGAAGAAAAGGTATTTCCACTGTCTTTGGATAAACAGGAAGAAGCAGAGATTGTAGATTAGACAGAAGATGGAGGAAAGGATTTGGTTTGAGTTTAGCTACAGGAAGAATAGCTTAGCTGAGGAATGAAAAAGGATCCTGAGACATGTTATAGACAGTGATTACTTTCATTAGAAGTCCCTTCAACTTACTTCATCTTAAATTATGATTGGAGTTGACTTGGCTTTTAATCCAATTAGTGCTTCAACAGAAGAAAGAGAGATCTTAGATCTAGCTGTGTTTATGACAGTGTGGAAAGAAATCTGGAAATATGCCCTTATCTGGTTGTGAAAGAACAGGATAACTTGCATGTATTCAAAGCTATGAAATCACTGGCTTCAACACTAAAAAAAGAATAGCCGGTTAAAAGAATCTGACCTAGCAGTTGAGCCAAATCATTTTATAACCTATTATAAAACTTATTTTATGTACTGCCACAAATTTGTGTTAAGGTTCTGTTTTTCTTTTGCTTCATATGAAACCCAGTTCTAAAAATAACCAAGGCTAAAAATAAGGCAAAACCCACAGATTAAGTGTAGCTTTCTACATGTACAAGTAACAGGGAAATCTCTACATCTAGGAAAACAGATGCTGGGTTACTTATTCCCACTTCTATAAAAAAATTTTAAGTAGAGAATAAATATTAACAAGGATGTGGAGGAATTAGAGCCTTTGTGCACTGCTGATGGGGATGTAAAATGGTACAACTGCTGTGGAAAACAGTTTAGTGACTCTTCAAAACGTTAAATATAGAATTACAATATAATTCAGCAATACCACTCTTAGATATATATCTAAAGAAATGGAGAGCACAGACTCAAAAAGATACTTGTACACCGATGTTCGTAGTAGCATTATTTACAATAACCCAAATCCACCAACATATAAATGGATAAACAAAGTGGTATACACATGTAACAGAATATTATTGAGTCATAAAAACGAAAGAAATTTTGATGTATGCTATAACATTGATAAACACTGAAAACAACATGCTAAGTAAAATAAGCTAGAGATAAAAGAATAAAAAGTGTATGATTCTACTTAGACGAGGGACCTAGAATAAGCACACTCAGAGGGACAGAAGATAATGCAGAGGTTACCAGGGTCTTGGGGAAGGAGGACTGGGAAGTTACTGCTAAATGGATATAGAGATTCTATTTGGGGTGATAAAAAAGTTCTAGAAACAGGTAGTGGTGATGGTTACATAACAGTGTGAATGTTACTTAATGCCAATGACTTGTACATTTAAAAATGGTTAAAATGGTAAATTTTATGTTATGCCTATGTTTCCATAATAAAGAAAGAGTAATCTATTTGGTGAATACCTAATTATCTCCCATTGCTGCTAAAATCCATGTTGTTTAGTTGCCCAAATTACGATTAAACGTACTCTGTGTGGGTGCACACGCACATAAAAAGAATCTCTCTTACAAAAAAGACCCTGGCATGGTGTGCACATCAGCTATCCTAGAATGCATTTGCAAAAGCCCCCAGTAATTATAACTGCACCCCAGTTTTATTGCTATTGTAGTTATTTATCAACATCAAAACTAACAGGTCATGAGGGAAAATAGCTGTACACTGTACTGATGGTCCAAACGTTTATGTTTATAGTTTATAGTAAAAACGAACACTATACCTGATAGAGCATGATAGGTTCTATGTTGTACCCTAAGGTGTCTGCAAAGTTCTTAGCGATGACTGTTTTTCCACAACCCTACAAACGGAAACACAATCATTTAAGGGCTCAGTCAAAACAACCCAAAGTTGGGAAACAGAAGTTTGCGGTGAGGCTGCCATTCTTACTTTTCCTCCAATTAAACATATGTCCTTAACCATGTGAGACTGCATCATCTCAGCCAGTAGTTGTTTATGGCTTAAAGTCTGTATGAAACGCTCTGATGCATGAGGCTGATTGAAGGGCCTGGTCCCAGCTGGCACCTGTAATTAAAGAGAGGTAAATACAATATGCATGTTTTTTCCCCAAAATATTAGTAAATGAAAGCACATAACTGCCATTCAAAGCCCCTGTTAATTCCTTGCTCAATTCTATATTGATTTTGTATTTCAACAGAGCAACTGTTTTTTCATTCACAGATCTGATGATCATCAAACGTGCAAATCAATCATCTGTCTAAAACTAAAGCCCTCGATACCTGACATTTTCATAAGAATCATGTCATTTTTGCACCATTTATAAATTATCATGACAATATCACTAGTTAAGAATGAAACTTTTTGTCTGAATTCCAGTTTTATAAGTCCAAAATTTAAAATCAGCCCATTGGGACGCTCCAAAGTCACCCATGACCTGCTGGTTTTTAAATCCACGTCCACAGACCCTCTCCCACGCTTATTTTAGTTTACCACTCAGAAGCATCTGTTCTTAAAATCTCTCCTCCCTTCCTTCATACCTGCTTCTTTTCTTTCCCGTCTCCTCCTTGTTAGTCTCCCGGGAGCCTATCGGGAGAGGGTTTCAGGCTCTGCAGAGGACTCTGATCACACTGTACATAACATGAACCCTCAAGAACTGTAAGTTTGGAAGTGAAGAGATCAGAATGGCATTTAAGACAGATCACCCTGTGGTAACACAGCAGGCTAGCCGGACCGGGACTGCAGGCAACCAAGTTAGAAGGCTGTTACCGAAAGGAGTGAAACACCAAAACCTTGCTCAAACCTCATGCCTTCGACATACTGTTTAAACTGCCTGAAACGCCTGGTCATCTTTCCACTCCTGGACCACCGCACAACTCCTACGTCACACTTCAAGACTTAGCTCACGTCCCACCTCCTCCCTGACACTCCCGCCACTCCTCCTGACTCCTGGCATTTCTTCCTCCACCGTATCCCCACAGCCATTCAGCCCACTGCAGTCCTTCCGCATCTGCCTCTGCCCTAGACCACCAGCTTGGTGAGGTCATTCATCTGAAGGAGATAGAAGAGTGTAGTAAAAAACCATCCTGTCTAGAAGTCCCAGCCGCGGTATTTCCTAGCCAGTGAATATGGGTGATTCCACTATCTTCTTTATATCCATTTTCGAATCTATAAAATGGAGATGCTAAAACTGACCTCCAGGGTTACTGCGGGATTTAATGGCATAATGAATGCAACGAGACAAATGCAGTGACTCGTAAATCTTAATACAGAGCCCGGCTCACAGCAGACGTCATCATGTTCAGTTTCATGTATGAATAGGTATTGATAATATCACATGAAAACACACCAAAAAAAGTCTATAATTAAAGTTTGGTCTGTCACAACATGAGAAAGCAAGACTTTTCTTTCCTATATTCACTTACAATTTATTTAAGTCAGGTTTTTTCAAGCTGTGTTTCCTAGTGATAGTTTCCCATCGCCTCTCGGGGTTCTGAGGGCCCTCAAAGAAAGGGCTGGAAGACAGGGGAATCCAGCCAAGCAGGTGGAGCTCTGTGGCCAAGTATCGTTTCCTGTCCTCAAAAACCTGTTCAACTTGAACAGCTCCTCTTTCAGCTGGTCCATGTAGCTAAGATTTTATTTGAAAAGAGTGTTCCCTAACTGCTAAAATATGTTTTAAAACACTGACTATTTCTTACCAAGGACTCAGAAAACAAATGCTTTCATTGGTCAACACGATTTGATTTTCTCAGAGATCAACTTTGGCTTTCGGTAAAAGGCTATGTTTCTCCTGAACTTTTTCAGTTTAAAACATACACGACTCTGGATACATAGATACAGATATATAGATGCAATGCTACAGAGCCAAAAGAGACTTATAAGGGGATCGTACACCCAATTTATGTCCTGAAAATGGGCAGAATAAGGCACATGTTAGAAAGTATAAACCTTGGCTCATTACCTTAATGGTCACCTCTTTCTCTGCAACCTGGACAGTCACAGAAGCCTGGGAGACGTGGTTTTCAGTCATTCTCTCCACTCTGACAATCTCTTTAGGAAGCAGAGAGCTTCCTGAATCTTGGAGTTCAAAGCGCTGTAAAATTAAGGGAAAATCATGTAATTTACTTTTCATTTTAGTATTAATTTTCGATATCTGGACGATTCCATCTTAATTAGAACTGAAATTCAGTCTACGTTATAAAAGTAGAGGTAAAAAAATTAATGAGACTTTTTTTCCTATTTTTATAAATACCATTCTACTTATGCCAATTAGTACAGGTGATATGAAAATAGTCCTTAAAATTTACTAAATGACAGGAAATGGAATCACTGATCTAGTAGAATTAATGACCTAGTAGAATTTCGCAGCCTACATTTCTTGATTATCAAAAGTTCCAGTTTCCTAGAAAGTGAAGGCAAGACTCTTATTGCCATGCTAAAGTAAAACAAGACCTATATCAGTTGACGTTTTTCAATCAACTGAAGTTAAGATGTTGAAATTCATGAAACCAGAACTTCTTGCACACCGTTCTGCTGTTTGTGTGAGTGGTTAGCCTGATTACAATAAATTATATCAATCTTCCACAGGATCTAGTATAGTGCCTTCTATAGTGTAGGTTCTCAGTATTTGTCAAACTGGATTTTAAAAGCCAAGTACCCAGATTCTTCAGGTGGGCCAATCATCAATGTCCTAACACTTGGTCACACCCTCTTGCACCTGCTATTTATGTAAAAAATGCACAGAGAAAACAGCAGTAAGTATATGAAAAATGAGAATACTCATTGAAAATTAATTAAATCCTAAGGCCTACTAATAGCAGCATGTTCAATACGAAAAGTTAATTCATTTTCAGTATTTAACAGGCAGAAATAAGCCCTCCAAATCCAACCATAGAGTATTATCTCTATAGTGAGAGTTGAACCTCAATGAAAGAAAAGATCACCATTTATTCAACACAATGATACAACCACAGAAAATAGGTTTTTGAAAAGAAAATTATCTTCAACCTCCAACATTCAAAAACACAACAGCCCAGCTCAAGTCTTCATTTTGATGTCATTAAGTACTCAAGGCCATTACTCACTTCTTTCCCCAAACCTAAGAAAAATTATCTACTTGTGCTACTGTAACAAAAGAAAAGCAAGTTTTGTACTTTACACATTTTATATATGCAAATTTCTATACTATCACATAATTTGGTAGGAACTGCTTCCATGTTGAGAATAAATAACAATTATTGACATTTTAATTTCATGCAGGAAAAAAAAAGCTACAACAATGTCCATCTAACTTAATATAGGATTGATGTCAGAGCACTTATATTCCAGAAATGAACACTAATGTCTTGAACCACTTGCTATACTGGTTATGTCCTCATAAATAATTCAAGCTAAAATATTTCAGTAGAATAAAAATAGTAGGCTAGACACACTAAAATAGTAAAAGAACTCCAGCTGCAAGGTGAATTACCACTGCCGGCACAGGAAATCAGAGGGCTGTGAGTCAACGCTGGAAGCACTCGGGCCCTGGTCTTCCTCCCATGGTCTCTGTCTCCAACTTCATCATTCCAGACGCTCAGTCCAGAAAGCTTCAAAACATCCTTGACTCTTTGTCTCAACCCTACTTCCAATCCTTCAGCAGATCATATTGATTCTACCTTTAAAGTAAGGCCCAAATGCAACCACTTCTTACCAAGCTCACAGCTGGTCAAAGTCACCATCTTTCAACTAGATGACTACAACCTACAACTGGCTTTTCCCTGCTTTGGCCTCACTCTTCAGAGTCCCCTTACTACTCAGCAACCAGAGTGAGCTTCTTAAAATGTTCAGTCACATGAGACATTCCTCTGCTATAAACCTTCTAATGACATTCCCTCTCATTCAGACTGAAGGCAGAAGTCCTTTCAATGGCCAATAAAGCCCCACGTCACCTACCCTCCTTTATCTTCTGACCTCATCTCCTCCTCACCTTTCTCCACTCACTCTGTTCTGTCCCCTCACACTGTCCTCCACTGTTCACAGGACACCCCAGGTGTGCTCCTGCTTCTTACACTGGTTCTTCTCTCTGCTTCCAACGCTTTCCTCCACAACACTCACTCTCCCTCCTTCAGATATGAAATGTCACCTTTTTCGTGAAGTCATCCATTCTTCAGCTGACATACTAGATACTTGACTTATTTACTTACTTACTCTATCGATTGACTGATTCACTGTGACCCTTCACTAAAAAAATAAGCTCAGTGAAGGGAGAGACTTGTCTATTTTGAGTAGTCCTACATCTCCGACACAACTGTGCCTTGCTAATTGACTGGATGGAAGAACAGATGGAACAAATAACTTTTTTGAGTGAATAATTTAAAAATCTTTTTTCAACAAGACATCTCTGCAACATCTGAAACTTGCTGTTCCTTTCCTCTTAAAACATTCTCTCCCCATGTTCATAAGGATATTCTGTGCTGCTCTTCCTCTGTCTAATCTGAAGGTTCTTTGCCCACTGCCCAGTCCTTAAATGTTGATGCTTCAGGGTTCAGTCTTCAGGCACTATTTCCTCTCACTCTATATGCTCCTCTTGGGTTCTTCCATCCATCCCCATGAATTCAACTAACATGCATATATCACTGACTCCCAAGTATTTGTCTGTAGTATCAAAATAGCTCCAATCTGATCCATATTTTTAAGTCTTCTAGACAAACCCATTTGAGAATTGCAAATTAAAAAAGACCCCACTGTTTTGAACTATTTAGCCCCCACCCCAAATGTGCTCCTTTTCTCTTTCTCGTGTCAGTTAACGGCATCTCTATCTACTCAGTTGTCCAGGCTCAAATTCATGGACATTGTAGATTTCTCACCTTTTGCACAGCCCCCCAACACATCCTATACTTGATCAGTTAGTAAGGTCTGTCACCCCAGTTCTGAAACATTCCTCATATCCATTCAATCTCTATTTCACTGACCTAATTCAGGTCTTTATTACTTGGACCAGAGTTATTCATCACTATGCTACACTACTATAACACCAATACATTAAAATAGTTATTTATTTGCATGTGTAATGCTCCAACCAGACCACAAGTTCCTCAAGAGCAGAGATCACATCATACCCACTTCTGTATCGCCAGATTTCTGTATGCATGTCATTTGCCAAATAACGAGTGCTCAATTAATGTCTGTTGAACTGAAATGAAAACATTACATGCAAGATCCTTCCAAATTTCTCAGCAAAGACTATAGTTCACTTTATATTATCAGTGGATAAGTGGCAGCACAGCCTTTCAAGATCACCAACGGAACTTATTAATTTAACCACTGTTATCCTAGGTGCTACCTAAGAAGGACCTGGTCCTAGATGTAATCATTCCACACTGTAACAAACCCCATTCTCAAAGCATAGCAGATTCAGAATGAGGGTGTTTTAAGCATCCTTAACTAAAAGCTAGAAGTGATTTTATGACTATAGAAACATGTTTTTAGAGTATGAACATCATAAGATGAGCACCATCTGGGGAATGAAAGATAGTCCAGTAATTTTTATAGCTTGTTTAGAAAAAAAAAAAGGTGTTCTGAATTCTAGGTGACTGCATTGTCAGTAATAAGTTTTCCTTAAAAAATGGTCTAATTAAGTGATCACAGTAAAATCCAAATGGGTAGCTAATTCAAATAAACTATCCATTAATTTCTACGACAATCTACGTCAGAATAGAATTATCATTGTCGAGGAAAAGTTATTGTCTGTATATATGTATGTACCTTCTTGGTTTGCTATTATAATAGACATTTCTATTCTTTAGTTCAACATTTTTTTCCATATTCAACAATATTTCCTTAATTTTCACCGCTCTTAATTAAAAATGATTTGAGGATATATAAAATTTTGTGCATCTGTGAATATTAGCATGAGAAAAACAGAGAAACTTAGATTAACAAACAGGACACATAGACTGCCCCAGAAGAGATCATAAAGAATTATACCAGTCAGTAGACTGTTCAATTTTTAAGGAGAGAGATTTCATACTCTAATTTGGTTGTTGCATCACTGTGTAATGATATCACAAAATTAAAGTTCTTCATTAGGTTCCAGCAAGTGAATTTAAGCCCTCTGCTCCCCGACTATCTCCTAAGGAATTGGAAAAAGAAACAACGTTCCTTAACTAGCTCTTCACATGATGAAGGCAAGAAAAGACAATCACCTTTTCTTCTCTGATCTAAGTAATACCATTCCCTCTGTTTTTAAACTCTATGATCAAATTTGAAGTAATTTCTGTTTGTAATATGAATCTCCAATCATTTTTCTATGTTCCCCTTAATTATCAAGGTCAAAATAAAGATCAAAGAAAATGAAGCAACACTGGCTACTATCTTTAGAAAACTCAACTCTTAAAAGATCTCCTATAACTTCATCTAATTTGTATAGCTAGTTCTGAAATTAGAGACCAGAAACACTTCAAAGTGGGTTTTTAATTTTGTAAAAATAAAGACTTTTGTTTATAGCTGATTTATCTAGGCACTGAATATCTTCTCTAAGTTACGCCATGAAAAACTTGACATTGCTCATTTTATCAGAACTTCCTGTGACATGTCCTTCCTCTTGGCTATTTACCCTTGTTCCCAAGGCATACGCATTGTGTTAATGGGCATCAAGAGACCTCTCCGAAATCACAGCCTTTTTCCTTAAACACTAGGGGCTCTACTTCAACGACCAATGCCAGCTTAGCTCAGATGTTGATGAAATCAAAGATGACTTCTGGTTTTCTTTTTTTCAGCACCTGGAATAAAACTTAAAGTGAACTATCTAGTCAGAAAATGGTAGCTTCCTGCCTCCTGGAGCCTGTGAGTTAATTTCCCCATTTCCAAATGGTTCTTCATTATCCCCTTAATACTCTTCCACCTTCTCCTCCCTCTCCCCTCTCTTCCTCACCCCTACTCTCTCCCCCACACAGACTTCTTTCTTCTCTTTCATCGGTGGCTGCCATGTCCCTGTCCTCAGCTCTGCTTCAATTTTCTGCTGTCTCGTCTTCTTTCCTGTGACTATTGGCCATTATTTTCCCCTGGCTTCTTTATAATTTTCTTTTAGATTCTGTCCTAACTACACGTCTCAGCATTTATGAAGAAGAGCTTTTTATTACTTTTATTATTATTATTATTATTATTGTCACCAATCAATAAAAATGTGGTTTCCTTGGCTAGCTGATATATGGAAACAAAAGTCCCACTAAAGTAACTAGAATCTGTCCCGCTCTTCTGAGCTCTCACTACTGCTGGCTGCATAAAGTACCTCTGTATTCCCAGAGACCCTGTGCAGATTTGGGGATAAGTGAGAAACAGCCATCATTCTCCATGCTTCAGGTTGTCCGACTCTGGCCTCCAGAAAACAAAGGGCCTGTACACGTCGCCACACAGCTGAGGGTACACATGCTACCTATGCCTTAGAAATCTGCACCTTGAGTCAAAGCACTAAAAAGAAACAAAACCTGTCTTTTATAAAAAAGAATTAATTTGGGTGCGTCAATAAATCGCTGCCAAGGGTCAACACGATTAAACATATAGTTATAAGATACCATATAGTGTAACTGGCCCTTTAGAAATGATGCCACATGTATTTTTAAAGAAAACCGTGCTCCGTGTATTATAAACCACTTGTGACAAAAGTGAGAGTTTCATCAGTTTAAATGATAGCTCTATAGCAATTTCCATATTTTTATATAAAATGCTTGCTTTTCATTTAAGTTCTGGCAGATAAATTTTAACTTAGTGTTATATTAGATATTTGCTATTAATTTTTTCTTATTTTGAAATAAGTTATACCGGATATTCATGCACTTCTTAAAATTTTGTATCTTGAAGTAATTTCAAACTTGTAAGAAAGTTGCAGATCACGGCTGTAGAAAGAACTTCTATTTCGCCTTCACTCAGATTTCAGTGGGTGACGTTTTAGCACATTTGCTTCCTTTCTCCTTCCACCCCCACTACACACACAATCCTTGGTCTTTTCTGAACCACTGGAGAGTAAGTTGCAGGTACGATGCCCCATTCCCTCTAAACATCCCAGTTTCATATTTCCTGAAAACAGCTCAGGCCAATGTAATCACCACGTAAGCTTTCAAATCAGGAGAACCCCTGAATAGAACACTGCTATCCATCCACAGGCCCTACTGAAGTTTATCCAACTGAACCAACGTCACTTTTCCAATCTGGTGTAGGACCCTGTGCAGGAACTCTCTGCATTTGGCTGTCACATCTCTAGTCTCTTTCAATTTGGAACACTTCCTCAGTTTTTCTGTTTTTCATGGCTAGACAGTTCCAAGGAATACGGGTCTTTCATTCCGTATGATGGCCCTCAACTTAAGTCTATATAATATTTCATCATGGCCAAACTCGCATGATGAATTCTTAGCCAGAAATCCCAACAAATGATGCTGAACTCTTCTTACACAACACTCAGAGGCAAGTGATATTCACTCGTCCCACTGGGTCAAGGTGGTATTTACTATAAAAATACTATCTTCCTGTTTTGTAGTCAATCAAGAATTTGAGGCAGGGGGCTGTATCCTCAGATTATCCCAATATCCTGTTCCTTGTAGAAGTTCCACTAGTTTTTACATCCTTGGATGACTTCTGCCTAAATCAACCACCACCCTAATGGTTGCCCAATGGTGATCTTTCAATTTATATAATTCCTCTGCTTTTATTAATAAGCGTTCTACCAGGAAAAGCTTTTCCTTGTCCCCCATGTATTTATGTATTCATTTATATCAGTGTGAACTCATGGCCTCCTATTTTATTCAATGAGTTATCACTGATTACTACCATTATTTATTTTGATATTAAAACTGTCCCAGATTTTGGCCAGGGGGAGCCACTCCAAGCTGGTTCCTCTGTCACTGTGACAGTGTCAGCATCACTTATTAAACATTTCCTTATGTTTGGGCATAATTAAGATGGTCCAGACTCATTGTGGACATTCCCTGCCCTGAACCTTCGATCAGCCCTACTTCCAAGGATCCTAATTCCTTCTAGGGAAATGTGGTATTTAGAAACCAATGTCTCAGCACCTGGTATGACCATTGCCATCGGAGTGTCTAGCTTTCAGGCCCTCTCAGGGGACGGAGCTAGAAAATAAGTGTATGTACACACATATATGTACACTATTGATATCTATTACTATACCTATCTGTTTATATATATTGAAAAAAAATGAGTTCATACCGACTTCTCCAACTCCAATCTAATATCCGAGTCCTTTCATTCATCTCCCCTTTCTGTTTATAAATTCCTTCTCCGACAGTGAGAGATGCAGCTTTATTACCTTCAATATAGTCACTCATTGCTCAATTTATTTACTGATTTGCTCAATGTAACCAATCTCTGAATCACACCAACCGCCTCTGTGCCAGCTTCCTCCATCACTGGCATGCCAACGCCTCCATGCCCGGAAAGAAGAGAAGGAAAAGCAAGGGAAGGCAAGGACAGGGAGAAAGACGGAGAGAGAAAGGTAGGAAAGGAGGAAGGGAGAGACGGGAAAAGGAAAGGGGCAAGAAGGGAAAACAAGGAAGGGAGGGGAGGGAGGAAGTGAAGCAGATACTCACCTGTAAAACGCCTTCCACAGCCATCTTCCCTTCTGGTCCTAGCACGAGCGTGTACGGGTAAAGCCAGTGGATCGCATGTCTGATCGACATCATAGGAAAGGAATCCTATTGAGGAGCAAAAACATATGGGAATGAGGAACATCTAAAATAAATCACAGAAAATTTACCTAAAATGTACATATGACATTGAAGTTGCCTTATAAGCAATAACCAATACAGTCCTCACATTTCCCGCACGTCTACATAAGCAAATATTCATCACTTCCTCTTCTCTTCCGTCCCACACGCTTGCCCTTGGTCAATTCACCCTCTCCCGTCTTTCAGCCGCCACCTACGTGTTGACGGCTTCCGTGTTTCTATCTCTAGTCCTCACCTCTTTCTTGTGCTCTAGGCTTGAACTCCGAATTGCACATCACACGTGACTACGTGCATATCCCACAGACCCCACTCAGCATGCCTGAAACTACATGTCTGAACTCCTCTCCCTACCCTACTTGTCCCAAAGTACCTTCGCCTTCTTCTTTATTTCTGAGTTAATCTCATCCACATTTACCTAGCTTCAAAGTTATAACCACAAACTTAGAAAGTATTCATTATCCTCAAATCCTTCCCCCCAAATCAAATTGCTTTCCCAATTCTGTTTACCCTACTTTGAAAAGTCTATTAACGGGGAAAATTAGGGAAATTTCAGAATGGACTGCCTATTAGATGATACAGAATTACTGTTAATACGCTGAGGGATGTGATAATGGTGTTTGGTTACATAGGAGAATGTCCTAATTCTGAGAAGTTATGCACTGAAGTATTTAAGAATATTAGCTGCCATGCACTTTCAAATGGTTCAGGGGAAACAAAAGAGAGCAAGCAAATGCGGCACTACGTTAACCATCGGTGAGTCCAGCTGAAGGAGCTCTGGATGCTTACTTTACTATTTTTGAACTTTTCTTTAGATTTGAGGATGGTCAAAGTAAAAAGTTCTGAGCAAAAACAAAAAGCACGACAAGTAAAAGATGTGGTAAGCAGGGGAGAAAGGCTGTTCTAGACGGGTGGAACAGTGTAAGCGACACCCGGGAAACCTCACTCACTGACTCTCAGGAAATAGACGATAAACAGCAACAAGCGTTTCAGATTAAGTCTCACCTCAGTGGAGGGCCCAGCACGGCGGAGCCTGCTGCTGGCAGAGTCGCTCACTGCCCAGCCCGGCAGTCCCTGCACGCCGCTATGCTTCTAGGTTCCCCTCACTCCTTCCAGCCTACAGGGGTCCCTTCTCAGCACACTCATACACCTGATCGCTACACACCTCACCTGCTTATAACGCCTGCTGGGCCACGTTCCCCCACACTGTAAAACCCAGACAACCTCACTCACCACGCCACACGCGTCACACTAACGCTCTAGCCTCTCTCTTCACCATCACGCCTGCGCTGCTGATGCAGCTGATTACCATTCTCCAAACACACCAGGCCCTTCTGTGACTCAACACCTTTGTGAAACTGTAGCGGAATGTCCTGTGAAACGCCAGTGCCCCACCAAACCCCCTCATGTCCAATTTTATCTTTTCTGTGCCTCTGGCTTTCCCTTCCAACAGGCGGCTGCTGCATATTTTTCTCAGTCTTGTGAGGAAGACGGCCCTTGAGCTCTGCTCGCAGGCCGGGAGAACACGAGTGCCTGGGCGTCTGTGGCCACCCTGAGGACCATTAACTAGTGATGGGTGATGCTGGGCTGTGCCAGTCCCAGCTCCCTGCCTCAGGCTGGGCAAGTCTGAGGCACGCTGACCTACAGCATCCCTGTGTGGATCGGGCGGAAGCGCTTCCCTCTGTGGCACGCTTACCTGAGTTGTGTATCTACCTTCCCCCTCTAAGGCTGCAGGCTTTCAAAGGGCTCAGAACACGCCGCTGGGCTCTGTATAGTTGGCTGCACAACAAGTTAATCTCAGGTCTTACAATATTTACAGAAGACCATGCAAGGCAAACTCAAGTGATTAATCTCCAGGGATTAACTTTTAAATTTCCTTTGCCACACGTGGGTACACCAGTCATTAATTTATCTTTCACATACCAGGATTTGAACGGCAGCTGGCAAACTATCTAAAGGAAAATCTGGAAGTCCCAGCGTAGCAGATTCTTGGGAACAGAGAGTGGTGGCAAAGGACAAAAGCTGAGAAACTCTAGGGGGAAAAAATAAGTGGCATTAAATTTTATTCTAATAGTTCTACTATATAAAGTGTACAAATCTGCTAAAATAAATAGCTGAGCCAATTTAACTAATCTGAAAAGATGACATCTACTGTTAAATTCCTAAAGAACAACAGCTCCAATTACAATATTCCATAAAACTGAGAAGCTGATTAGATACACAGATTTCTGAAATCCAACACAATATGTGAGGTTGTCCACAACCCGGCCCTGCCAGCCTCACCTCCCATCTTTCTCAATCTGAACCTAAACTCTACCACCAGGAGCTTTTCACAGCCTCAAGAATGGGGCATACACTCTCACTTCCCACGTTTTAAAAAAAAAAAAAAACTCTTGAAATTCCATAGTTCCATTCTTTATCTGGCAGAACCCTACTCATTTTTTAGGACCCATCTTAAATGCCAATGTCTTTGTGAAGCCTTATGATACTTTGAAAGTAAGGCCCTTACTATATGCTGTGTTAAACTAAAGTACTCCATTATCTCTAAACTCTACTAGACCTTGAGATTTTTGCCACCAAAGATAATTTCTTTACCATCATTTACAGCTTTCTCATCCTCCTTATCATTTTTATCATCAGCACTTACCCTAACTACTGAAAAATTCTTCAAATAGTTGAATGAATGAATGAATCAATCAATCAATGAACGAGTAAAACAAATTCAATGTTAAATGTCCAGATATTTATACAAATATATATAAATGTATAGCTTAAGTACTTACTTCTCAGCAGAAATATTCGCTCCAACTGAATATAACAGTTTTAGTTGGTCCTAAAATAGCATAGAAACATCAAATCAATTAATAAAGAATGTAACAGATTAAAAGCAAATATTTTATAGACAAATCCAACCTTTCACTATGCAGACACTAAGTAATTAATAACAAAAAATAATTTCTTTATACATGTCCTTTTCTTAAAAAAAAAAAGTAGCCTTTTTTAAAACTGTCAGACAAATAATACCACAATAAGTTTTCTTCTGCATTTCCAAAGATTTTCTTCATCCTATATCCTTTTTTCTTTCCATTAACTACTGAGGGGGGCATCTACAAACACAGCAACATTTTTATAGTAACTAAATTTATTATAACTAGAAAAACTGTTTAAAAAATAAATTATCCTTATTCATACTGACCTTGAAGGGTAGATAATAAATATCTCTGGCTTGAAATCGAGAGCGGAGAGGTGGGTCTAATGGGTTCCCAGAGTACTTAGGCACTGGCAAGCCCAAGGCGATCACCCGGAAGTTTTCACTCACTCGAACTATCTTCCAGGCATCCATTTCTGATTTGGTATGATCCTAAAAGAGTGCGAGATCAAAAATTACAGCATGGACATTTTGATGGTTGCGCGATGGGAGGGGGGTGGAAAGGGTGGCTGAAAAAGGGGGAGGGATTAAGAAATATAAATGGGCTGTTACAAGTTAGTTATGGGGATGTAGGGTATAGCATAAGGAATATAGTTAATAATATTGTAATAACTACATATGGTGTCAGATGGGTACTAGACTTGTTGGGGTGCTAGACGGGGGTTGGGGGACAGGGTGAAAAAGGTGACAGTATTAAGAAATACAAACTGGTAGTTACAAAATAGTCACAGGGATGTAAAGTAAAGCATAGGGAATATAATCAGTAATATGATCATCACTACATATAGTGCCAGGTGGGTATTAAACTAGTCAGGGGGATCACTTCTTGGATTGTATAAATGTCTAACGACTATGTGTACACACAAAATTAATATAAACTACTACTGAATGTCAACTGTAATTGAAAAATTTGAAAAGGGGGGGAAAGGTGAAGGGGAATAAGAGGTTCAGATTTCCAGGTATAAAACAAATAAGTCACGGGGATGTAAGGTCCACCTTCCCTGCCCCTGTGCTCCAGCCCATGTCACAAATGGCGCTCTCCAGACACATCACGGTCCTTCACTAACACTGCTCCACTTGTGTGGGATGCCTTTCCCACTTTGCACAGCACAAATGCAGGTATCATTCAAAGCCCAGTACCAACAATATCATCACTAAAATCGGCCCCTTCTTCCACTGGAACCACTTCTATGCCCCTCCACTGCGTCCTGTGCAAGCTTCAATCATTATGCATTCGTGCACTGACTTCTGTACACGACTGTCTCATGCTGGATGCAAACTCTTGAAAGTATTCATTGTTATACCTCAAGCACATAATAAGACAAGTGTCTGTTGATTGACTGCATGAAATAATTTAAAACCAATAATAACGACCAATTATTTCTAGCATAACCAAAACCATGATCCTGCACCGAAGTAAAGGGATTAACACTGACTATTTCACATGCACCAGAAAACAAAAATCTGGCTCTAACAATGTCTGAGAAACCACAGGGCGATTTTCAGAGATCCGAATACTTCTATTTTCCACTTATATGAAAATGATAATCAGGATAGAAACAAAAAATTTACGAACTGATTGCATGTTTCCATAACAACAAAATTCTACTATAATCACTTCCATGAAAGCATGAACATTTTGAGATATTCAAATTTAGTAGATTGAATCTAGCTAGAAATAAAGGAGGCTTCAATTAAGGTGCTGAAATCCTTTTATCATAGAAACTCTGTGGTTTCCATGAGACAGATTCTATGAATACAGAAATTACATTTACCAATAAAAATTATGCAGTTATACTGATATTTACATTGGGAAAATGGAGTACATCCTTCCCACTTAATAATAATGAGCTCTCCGTGTATACACTCCGTGTATACTAAAGCCCTTTGGCCCCATGTGCCAACTTCCTATCCAAATAACATGTTCAGTAGCTTTGCACAGAATTCTACTACATGAATGAAGAATGTATCAAACTTCTTGTTATAAAGTAACTCCTATACTTAAAAAAAAATGATTTCATAATCTCACTATTCTTTTCCAAATCATTTACTAAAAGTGGCAGGTATATAGGGCCAAATAGTTATTTTGTAATTAGAAAGTATCTAAAGTGAAACCGTTCTGTATAATATCTACCTACTTTTAAAATAACAAATATATATTATTCTTACATTTATATTTATAAAATATAAATTAATAACATTTAAAATAAGATTTTAAAAAAATAAGTAATAAAAAAGGCTTTCATGTCAATAAATTAACCATAACAATAAGGATGATCGAATTTAACTTTTCTTACCGATTAAATCCTCAAGTATGCCTTTCTAATTATATTAGTATAACACCATGTTTACATAGATCCAAAAGAAAACACTTATACTGCACAATAAAAACGCTCTAGGATCTCCCATCAGCAGTAAAGAAACAGGGTACCAAGAGTTACAAGACAGGTTTCCGAGAAAAGAGGCTCACACAGCAGGACTCACAAGGGCACTTCTGGCCCTGCCAGTCAGGGAGCATCAGTTCAATCAGACCCCCTGCTGATGACATCTATTATTTAGCACGTAGCATGTTCTGGGCTTGTATTAGCTCCCTGGGAGCAGGATCAAGACGTTTACAACACAGATCCTGCTCTTGAGCAACCTGTAACCAACGTGGGGTAGTAAGACCGCACATATGAATGTCCACAGAACAGGTGTGAGGGGGACTCCAAACCCTACACTGCAGAGGCGGAGCCAGCAGTCCCTGGAGACTTGGTTAGCCAGAGGACTCCAGCATGGGACAGCTGGAGCTGAACTAACAGGACTGTCTTCTTGTCCTCTTGGGACATCACACGAGACCCTTCTCCAATGCCTTTGAAGAGTCCCACGTTCCCTTGTTGATGCCTTCTTTACACGCACTTGTACCATAGCGTTTAAAGATTTTATTGCCCTTATTCATTCATCCAACAAATACAGAGGGTGCCAAAAAAATGTATACACATTTTAAGAAAGGAAAAACTGTATTAAAATTGTCATAAATGAATGATGCGAACATTCATTTGATTAACGCCATCTTTTGAGTGGATGTCATGCCACACATTGCTACCGTAATTCAGTTCAACTTTGAAAGTGATACATAGATAACATCTCTTAAAATGTGGACATTTTTTTGGCACCCTTGGTAGTTACTGAGCACCTACCAAGTGCCAGGCATTGCTCTAAGAGCTTAAGACAATATCAGTGACAAAAATCTCTTCCCTCGTTCAAGTTATAGCCCAGTAAAGGGAAGCAGACAATGAACTAAAAACATAATAAGTAAGTAAATAGTGTAGGATGTTAGAAGACTTCATGGGAAAAAACAGAGTAGGATAAGGAGGTACGGAGGCAGAGGGCACATTAAAATTTTAAATAGAAAGGTGAGGGCGGCTTCACTAATAATATTTGAGCAAAGACTTGAAGAAGGTACAGGGGTGAGCCAGGCAGAAAACCATTCCAGAAGACTGAAGAGCCCATAAGGCAGAGAATGCTTACCCAGCATGTTTAAGGTAAAGAGAATTCTAGTAGCTAGAGTGCCGTAAGACAGGAGGACAGAAGGAGATAAAGCCCAAGAGGTAGTAAGGACCCAGGTCATACAAGACCATGTGTTCTACTGTGGAAGCTGTTAGAGTTAGAACAGAGGAATGACCTGACGTTTAAAAGCAATCACTGACTATTCTGGGGCAAAAAGGGTGGAAGCAGGGGTTCTAGTTAGGAGACTCTTACAGCTCAGGTGTCAGATGCCGGTAGCTCGGACCATCAGGGTGTCTTTTAAATATCTTATTCATTTCTGACTTTGACCTTCCTGAGCCAAGAACTGAACGTTTGTCAGCTTTGTATTCCCACCACTGTCGAGAAGCCATTAGACTTTTAGTAAATAGTTGTTGAGAGACAGAAAAAGGAAGATAGGAAAGGAGGAAGAAAGTGAAGAAGAATTAAAAGGAGAAAAACAGCAAATGAAGGAAAGAATAGCTCTTAGATTGGCAAGAAAAAGTAAAAAACCTTGGACGTTTTCTAGTATGGTCTGCGAATATTAGAAGAGCCTGTAAAACTGCAAACTCCTGGCCTGACTTCAGCGTTTTGACACAGATATGGGCCACCTGACATGTGTCCTCATTCTGATACACTCATGTCTTATGTAACAAAAGGCACCACCCACAGCTCGGTAGCTAAGACAAAGCAGACAAATTCTTTTCTTACCTGGAGAAGTTTGTCGTAACGCTCGGCAGACATTAGGAAGCGTCCATCTTCAAGCTGCATCTCCCTGTTTTCCAGCAAGTTATTCAAAACAGGCAGGACATTCCTCTCCGCCTTTTCCAAGCCTTCCAAGATGAGCGTTCTGCCTTCTGTGGCTGCACGAACTGCACACTATTCCCAGGAAACAAAAGCAACATGAGACTATCAAAGGTAGCAGTGCCCGGCCCCCTTTTACTTATAATGCAAATTGCACCTGTGGTTCTTATTATAGGGACCAGGGACCAGGAAGGCTACACTCCAGATCCTGATTTTGCTTTATCTGCCTGTGTGATCTTAGGCTAGTGGTTTTCCGTCTTTAGGCCCATTTCCCCATTTGTGAAAGAAGGGATTGGAAGGAATGATCTCTAAGGTTCCTTTCTCGGCTGTAACATTTCAGGCAACGCCCAACGAAAAAGAAAACTAAGAGTTATCTTTGAATTGATAATGTAATTAAACAAGGAGACAGGTTCTTGAACTAGAAAAGAGAAATGAAGATTACAGTCTGCCCTATCTACCCCACAAGCTTCTTGAAGGGATCAAATAATCGAGGTGAGAACCCGTGGAGACTGTAAGGTTTTAAACAAGAGTCACCATCAAAATGCATCCAGGTTTACGGCGATGTTCAATGCTGCCAACATTATAAACTTACCAAAACAGAAAAAGAGTCAGGTTTTACACTGGACTATAATAGACAGATTATAACCATAATCCTAGAAGTCTTCCAAGTAAAGTTTAATAAAACAAAATAGAAATGAGAGTAGGCCCCAAATGGTAAGAGACAGGAAAACTATAATACAAAAAAAGTACTAAAGATGAAATTAAAAAAAATCTTTAACTGATAGATTCTAAACAAAATAGGGAAAAACAATTTTTCAGTCAAAATCCTTGAAAATCTGGTGAGGAAATAACCTCAGAGACGTTTCTCCTGCACATTCCACAGGGAAAGGACGAATGCTGCTTAATTTCCGCTGTCAAACTCGCCTTCAAATTCTCCTTCTTTGGCCTCCATGCACTACACACTCTTAGCAAAGCTGTTCCTCCTTTTCTGCCTGCCCAATGCCAGGCAGATGATACCAGCATTACATCTCTCACATGTCTCTCACATTTCCAAATACTTTTTGAACATCTCCATGTTGACTGATGTTCAGACTCAACATGCTTCATCAAATCAAGCTCATGGCTTCTTCCCTACACCAGGCATTCGTCCTGATGTCTAGTTCAACTAGCGTTGCATGGATTCTCCCACCACCCGAGACGCATTACTTCTGATTCCTCAAACAACACAGTGTAACCCCTAAACACCTTATGTACCCACCATCTCTTTCCACTCTCGCTGCCACCACCCCAATGGGAGCCTTCATTCACTTCCTGCTTTTTTACTAACAGAGCTCGCTGGAGCAGGCGCCATATCTCAATGTCTCCAGTCGTCAGCTACCCTCAAGATGACAGTCTACTCGCCGGAAGTTAGAGGCATCTGCAAAGTCTATTTCAACAGTAATATCCATAATTATGAGTTGTCTCAACTTTATTAAGAATATTTATTTTTTAAATCCTCCCAAGCTTTTTTCTTATTAATTCAGCATCACATTATTTATTTTACACATAATTTTCAGTGGCAACGAGAATGGATGCTCTATAGTGCAACTGGATCCAAAAGCTATAAGAAGGGGTTTATAAAACTTGTAACTGGTACAATTTCTTAGAAAAAAAAAAAGAAAAGAAAAAAAGTGACATGCAAAGGATCACCCCAGATTTTTAACTTTCCTCCCAGTTTGCCCTGTAGTTACGTGGTTACAGGCCCAGTGCATATATAGATTAAAATGTTATATGTAGGCAACGATACTGGCTAAAGGAGAAAACCTTAAGAAAATGTCATTAGTAACAAAATCTGAATCACTGAATTTACGGAAAATACTGGTTACTATTTCAGTATTGCCTTGCTTCCTGATTCTTCCTTAAAATCGTCTATAAAATCATTCAGATACTTTCACCAGGACGGCCAAACTTTGGTAATGCAACCTGATCACACTGGTAAAGAAGAATGTGGAAAACAACTGAACAGTAAACCCATTAAGTCAGCCGTTCTCAACCTGTGGGGCGCGACCCCTTTGGGGGTCAAATGACCCTTTCACAGGGGTCGCCTAAGACCATTAGAAAACAAAAAGATACTTACATTACGATTCATAACAGTAGCAAAATTACAGTTATAGAGTAGTAACGAAAATAATTTTATGGTTGGGGGTCACCACAACATGAGGAACTGTATTAAGGGGTCGCGGCATTAGGCAGGTTGAGAACCGCTGCATTAAGTACTCTAATACATCAATAACGGATTGTGCTATCCTATAAATCTCAGGCTGAACTGGAGGTGGTGGAGAAAAAAAAAATAACCGTTACAAGTTTTGAGCCCAACAGAGGCCCAAAGATCTTGCCGTCCCCACACTAAAGGTCCCTTTGCCCTCTGTTCACTCAGCCCTTAAATGCAGAAAAACGTGGAAGTTACCCTACTTTTCTCATTATACCTGTTTCATCTCCCCAGCAGGATTCTCAGGTCTGAAGATGGTGAGAACCCTGTCTTTTATGTCCCTGGAGCAAAAGTGGCTCAAAGGCCCGGCCAAGCACCACGTTGGTTAAGAGCTGGCTTGGGACGCCAGCTCTGAGCAGCAGGGCCCCTGGTTCAGATCCCACATGGGCCAGTGACACTGCGCCCTCTACAGCTAAGATGGTGAACAACGGCTCAACCTGGAGCTGGGCTGCCGTGAGTCGCTGGTGACTGCGTAGGCTGCAGTGGAGCTGCAGTGGGCTGCCATAAGCTACCGTGAGCGGCAGTCCAGAGGCCGGCGACAGATCTGCCTCACCCGGGAAGAGCGCAATGATCGCAATACCAACATGGGCCAGTGAAGCGACGTCCTCCACAACTAGACTGAAGAACAAAAGGACAGCAACTTGTCTGTTCCCCTTCCCCAATTCCCCAACTCAAAATCTTTAAAAAAAAAGGCAAAAATTATGATTAAAAAAAACAAACACAAAAAACGTGGCTCACAGCAGACTTTCATTGTTTATGGAACAAAAATGTAACCACTCAGTTAAAAGATGCTGTTGTATAAGTTTAGGAAGAGGTTTAATAGGAAGGCTAATAGTTATCTACATCCACACTTGATTCGAGAATAGAACAGAACAAGTTTAACTGTCAGCACGAAAGATTTAAGCTACATATTTCAAAAATTTTCTATACAGGTTTTTAAATAAAATAATTGTGGTATAATTTTTCTAGTGAAATCTTTTAAAAAAGGGGGAGCAATGCACACATATTTTATGTAGAATGAACACTTGTGATCATTTCTCAAAGTAGAAATTAAATCAACCATAAGGATCCTTTCCTGCCCGTCAAACTACAGAACTTCCAGAGACCTAATTTTCTCAAATAGAAATCAGAAAAATTGCAGCAAGATCCTTCTGGACAAACCATCTCATATCACAGCTTTAATAACCAAACACGTGGACACAAAGGATTTCAAGATAAAAGCAGCTGCGTGACCTAGAATCAAAAACTGCCTAAGTCCCTGCTCTAGATTTGCTTTTGATTTAAGACCTTAGGTGAACAATTACCCTGGAGGTCTGTGTCCTCGTTTCTAAACGAGAACATCCTCAAGGGGTATTATACAATATCACTATTTACGAATCAAAGCAGCACTGGGAAAAAATTTAAAGCTATCGAACCTATTAAAACATAAATTATCATGAATACAGCCACGATTTAATGAAAATAGATTCCAAAGAGCTTCGAATTACTCAAAATGGCTACAGTGTAACAGCACTGAGAGAAATGAAAAAAAAATTACATTTCAAGTTCTTTATTTTAAAATATCAGAACAGGTCAGGTTGATTTTTGGTTGCTCTAGTACTTACCTGCTGTGGGTGACTTAGGTTAGTCACTCTGCCTCCCTGAGCCTCCGATTCTTTTTAAAGCTACACTAATGACGGTGAGGATTAAATGAGATTACCTGTGGCACACAGTAAGCCTTTGGAGAAGGATCAGCTGTTATTATTATGAATACCATCATCCTTGTCATTGTCGCCATCATCATCATCATCATCCTCACTGCTCTCTCAGGAAATAGCATAATATGGTAGAAAAAAATCTACGCTGGAATTGGACAGATGCAGGTTTAAATCCCACCTCCGCTATTTACCAGTTGTGTGACCAGAGCCCTCTCAGGCCAATCACTTCCTCCTGTAAATTAAGGAAGTCATCGCCCTCCTAAGGATGTTTTGAGAATTAAATGCACTAGCAGCACAACAGAGGTCTCCTCAATAAAAGTGACTTTTATCTCCCTTGATTTTTTTTTAATGAATTACACAAATCTGTCAAACAGTTACCATTATTATATGAGTAGATCAGAGTCGGCCTGCGTAAGACAGCAATGTGAGAAGGAGCCAAGGCCTGAGTGGTGATGACTAACCCAGAGGCCAAAGTGAACAGACAGGCTTTCCCCAAGTGTCCAAGTGACAACTGGAGCACTTTATAACAACATGGCTACACAGGATCTGGCGCAGAGTTCAGCCACGCTCAGCAGCCTTGCTTCTGTAGGGGATGCTTTCCAAATTCCCATACTTAATTTACAAATGAACTTCTGAACGACAACTTGGTAATTTTAACAGTGGTTACAGGTGGAAAGTGGCTTCAGCATGCACAAATGGGTCAAGCTTATAAGTAAATGGTTTTTCCTATTTGCAAAATAAGTAAAAGGAATTTAGACAAGGTAAAAATCTTATTTTCTCATCAATAGCACCATTATTCAATTTGCTAAAAGTTACTTTGGATGACCCGTAATAGTTAAGCAGTGCATTGAAAAAGTTAATCCTTATTTTTTCTATTCGTAAGAGAGAATCAAGAATAACTCAAAACAGAATAGAGTAAACTGTTATGTAATTGTTTAAAGTGCATTTTTATCCTTAATATTAAATGTACATCATGGAATTTCACTGTATTGTGTTGAACAAATTAACAACATGCAAATGTAAAAGGAGCTCTTGGCTTAAAAAAGTTAAAGAAAATCATTTGAACTTCCCCATCCTGGCTTTCTACTTCCCAAATTATTTTGAGGATATAGTGTGTCTCTTCTCAGTAA